CTTTAAACATACACACGCCTTGGTTTTTATTGCATTTTATAATGCAAACATAATTTGAGTGCAAAATAATAATAGGTTACAAATAAACTTGACAGTTCACGATGGGTCATTTACAAGTAGGCAATGGGGTCTATACTCTATACGCTATAAGGACGTGAAAGAATGATTATTATATCTTCAAAAAAAAAGAGAAAAAAAAATAATGATTATAAACAATACTGAAAACATTTTTTCTTAAGATGGGCCAGTGTGACAAGAAAAGCCCAAATAGTTTTAATAACATGTGAAATCTTTAGCGTAAAATGGGCATTTCGGCCCATATTTCTTATGTTCAATAGACTCAAAACAGACGCGTGTCGGTGGGTGCTAAGTCCTAAACAAGAAGAATGTGGGGGTTGGCACGTGGCACAAGTGTCTGCATAGTTGACGATCTGCGTGGTAGTTGTTTGTTTCTTTTCAGAAAAAAAAAAAAATCTTGTTTGTATTCTTTCAGAAAAATACAAAAATTACTATTTATTGTTCCTTTTCCAATGTGATATTCTCTAATAAAAAACCCATAAAATTAACAAACTTACTGAAACGAAATCTATCATGGTATGTGAAAAATATACTGTATACACCATACATAAAATATACGATCTTATATACTTGAGTTGAGGGTTATCCAAGCATGCGAAACGGATCTAGGGTTGTTTTGTAATAGTTTCGCATGCTTGGACTAGTAGAAAATATTCTTACAAATTATTTTCAGCGCATTTATTAACAATTTATTAAGGGCCCCTAATTATAATATTTTTCTGTCGAAAAGGCCCCATTTATTCAAGACCATTTATAACCCTTTTTTTGTTTGTTGACGAAACTGATATTCAGCAGCTTCTCATTTCTTCTTTTTTTTGTGCTAAGATTCTCATTTCTTGCTTCACGAGACTAAAGAACGATCTTAAAACTCCAATAGGTTTGAGCATTTTGTCAGGTCTGATCTCTTCTTGAAACTAATTCCAAAACAAAAGCCCACATTTTAACTAATTCTTGGTTTTGATAGTGTGTCTTAAAACTGCCAAAATAAGCAAAAAAAGAAACAACAGCTTTTGAATCGTAGGTTCTGAAAAATGGCGGAAGAAGGTTTATTACAGTCTGACACAGAAGAATTATTAGCTTCTCGTAATAAATCTTCTACTTCACTTCCGTCTGAAATTTCAAATGTCTCCACCTTACCTTTTCTTCTTGCCTTCACTGTCTGTTCTTGCGGTGCCTTTTCCACTGGATGCATTGTGAGTTTCTAAATTCAATTAGATTATTTTATTTATTTTTTTAATTTTCTGGTCGGAAATCAAAAATGGGTTCATGCATGTTTAATTTTAATTAATGTTAAAAATAAAAAAATCTACAGGTTGGATATTCGGCTCCTACGCAGTCCAGTATCATGAAAGACTTGAATCTATCCATAGCTGATGCAAGTTCAATTTTGTCAATTTTAGTTTATTTCCAATTATCAATTTCTGGTTGGATGGATTGTTTTAGGTTCAGCTAAGTTTCAATTATTGTTTTTTTTTTTTGTCGTTTGCTCAGTATTCACTTTTTGGATCGATATTGACGGTGGGACTAATCCTTGGAGCATTAATCTGTGGGAAATTAGCAGATTTGGTTGGTCGTGTCAACGTAAGTTTCCAAAAGTAATCATATTTTCATCTGAATATAATTATATACACAATCATGGATTTAATCATCTAATTTTGTGGTTCTCTTTGAACCAGACAATGTGGATTACAAACATCCTCTTGTTAATTGGCTGGTTGGCTATTGCATTTGCTAAGGTTTGCTATATTCTGAGTATTTTTGTTTGTTTTACATTCTAAATTTCAATAATGAAATACCATCGTTTGAAGTCGATAGATTATGCTAATTCCTTCAAATATATGATTTTATATTTTGTTCTTTATTTTTTTTTTCTGAACAAAGGATGTTTGGCTGCTCGATCTCGGAAGGTTATTGCAGGGGACCTCGCTCGGAATTACCGCATATTTGGTATGAGTGAATAAACTTAGAGGTGTTAATAAAAAAAAAAAAATTGATTTTTTTTTTTATTTTGGCTTTCTGGTTTTTATGGCCTGGCATTTTTCATTTAGAGGTGGGAAAATAATTGAATAAATTTTGCTTCTCTAACTTTTTGGTTTTTAATTAGGCTTGTTAATTTCATTGGTAAATTCTAAATGTTTTATTAAATTTTAAGACTTTATTTGACTATATTGAAAATGAATATGTGTTTTAGGTCATTTTGGTATGAATTTTTTTTGTAATAAATCATATATAATCTACAATAACCATTAATCATAGGGACCGGTTTACATTACCGAAATAGTTCCAAGAAACCTGCGAGGAGCTGCTTCTTCCTTTTCTATGGTAAATTAATTCCTTTTCTATGGTAAATTAAGAGAACCAAAAATCTTGAATCTATTGCACAGACGTACTTTTCCTACAATACATTTTTTTTTAATGTTCTTCAGTTATTCGTGGGCGTTGGTCTCTCGCTCTTATTTGTACTTGGAACGGTCGTTGCTTGGCGCAATTTAGCTATTTTGGGTATGTAAAAGAGACCAATTCTTATCGAATGCAAAAATTCGACTTTTCTTCATTTCCTTAAAAGGAAAAAAATTTGTACTGATGGTTTTGTGTATTGGATTTGGACAGGATCTATATTTTGCCTTATGGTTCTGCCTCTTCTTTTCTTCATTCCTGAATCTCCTAGATGGCTAGTACGCGCTTGGTTATTATTATTTTATGTTTACAAATTACATTTGAGGTTCTTGTTCCTTCAAACACATTTGAGTGTTTCTGTAGATGTCTTTTGTAAAATTATAAGATAAAACTAAATAAGATAGCGTGTTTACAAAATGTAAGAATATCATTTGCGTATATAGTTTTCAAACAATGTGTTTTCTTTCAAGTCTACTATGTTATCTACATTTTCAAATAAGATCGCGTGATTAAACAGTATTTTTTTTAAGTGTACTATGTTATATGTACACAATAATATTTTTAGTTTGTTACCAATGAGGGCAAACATATGCGTTTGGTTAGCATTTTAAGGAATACAAACGAAGCGCTTTTTTGTTTCATCAAATTAACTGAAATGAAACTTGTCTCGCAGGCTAAAGTAGGGAGGGAAAAGGAGGTCGAAGCGGTTTTGTTAAGACTGCGAGGAGCAAAATCCGATGTATCAGACGAAGCAACAGAGATATTAGTAAGGACATATAAATGAATATATATGCATCAATAATCATATGATATAATCGTATCTTTACATTGGTTTCCAACATTTTGAATTTTCTTGATGATCATCAGGAATATACTCAACATGTTAAAGAACAACAAGACGTCAATGGCCGTGGTTTCTTCAAACTGTTTCAGCGAAAATACGCGTTGTCACTTACTGTAAGTAATAGAAAACTTTAAAAGAATTATTATTTATTTTCTTGATTAGTTAATTTTTTTATCCCATTGGTTTAACAGATTGGAGTAGTTATTGTAGCTTTGCCTCAGCTTGGAGGTCTTAATGGCTATACTTTTTACACTGACTCCATTTTCACCTCTACCGGTAAATAAATCCTCGTTCTTCTTTTTCCATCTTGCTTCATCGAACAGTCAGTAATTATCAGATAATCAGGTGTATCAAGTGACGTTGGATTCATATCGACATCCATTGCTCAGGTTTTACCGATTATAAATAGAACTTTACTATTTTGTTTGAACAAAAAAAAAAGATCATAGAGCATCATTATAATTCCTAAGTTTTTTTCCTGTAGAACATTCAAATACGTTCTTATAACGATCATTTTAAAATACATTTTTGAAGATTGTTGGAGGCATTTTAGGTACTATGCTTGTGGATGTATCTGGAAGGCGTTCACTCCTACTGGTAAAATACAATTTGAAAGTTGTAGCCAAAAGTGTAAATAACCGAGATCGATAGTTTTGTTTTGAAGAAAATTTAGGTGGATTTTTGAGTGATTTTAGGTTTCACAAGCTGGAGTGTTCTTGGGTTGTCTTGCAACAGCCACTTCATTCTTCTTGCAGGCATGCTTACTATTCTATCCACTCTACTAAACCGATGGTTTGGTTTCAATTATGAAAAACCGGTTGTAATATCTCCGGTTTTCTTACTCTGCAGAAGAACCATTACTGGGAAACAGGAACAACTATATTGGCTCTCACGAGTGTTCTGGTAATATATAAACTATTATTACAACAATATATAATTCTATTTTTGGAAATATGTCTAAAGTAAAAAATTGTGTTTTTCGTATATATATTAAATTAGGTGTTTTTTGGATCATTCGGATTAGGCATGGGACCGATACCATGGATCATAGCATCAGAGGTAAATTAATCGAAAGTTAAAAGAAAAAAAAATCACATAAATCTAAATGTTTTAACTGATTATAAATTTATTATTCATGGTCTTTTTCTTTTATAGATTTATCCGGTAGACGTGAAGGGGGCGGCGGGAACAATGTGTAACTTGGCCACCTCTATAAGCTCATGGCTCGTTGCTTATTTCTTCAGTTTCTTGCTTCAGTGGAGTTCCACAGGTAACTAAGATTTTAAAAATTTATTATATACAAAAAATTATAACTAAAATAAATGATATTCTTCATGAACTTGGAAAACAAAATTATTGCAGGAACATTTATCATCTTTGCCACATTGAATGGCCTTGGATTTGTGTTCACAGCCAAGCTTGTTCCAGAGACCAAAGGAAAATCTTTAGAAGAAATTCATTCTCTTCTTTATGATGATGATTCTACTCCTGAAGATTCTACCGAATTCTAAGAAGTTAAGATAGAATTAAAGATTCTCGTTCAGAGATACCGGAACTCGTAATTCTTTTGCATCATCTTCTTCATCTTTTCTCTATTTCGTTAGTGTTCCTTGTTCGAGCTACAAGTCTTGGTGTGTATGTTTCGAATATTGAGAATATTATATGAAATTAGCCATTAATAATGCCAAGTCATTAAAACGGATGTCTTGGAGTTAGTAAACAACTTTATGGGTGACATGCATATGTTTTTAGAGTATTTTAGGTTTAGAGTAAAATTACAAAACGGAGTCAAATGGCTTTTTCTTGAAGAAAACCCACAAAGGATCAAAATCAAACGTGGTAAGTGGTTTGTGTGTTTAATTGTTACTTATTAACGAGTTGCTTTTTTTATACTAACTGCACAATAACTATTAACCAATAATAATTTAAGAATATAAACACTTTTAGTTAATATTTTTTGAAGTTTACAATCGATTAAAATTAATTAACCAATAATACATATAACTCTTTCAAATATTTTTTTTCTGGAAATAAAAAAATAAAACCTTAAACATCAAACTAAACAGAGGGAGTATATTGCAGGAACATTTGTGATCACACTTAACGTAATGTCGTAATTAATTGTCTTTTCCTAAGGGTTTTTAATAAAAAAAACACCTATGTCCATAATAATAGGGTTAATTTACAATTTAACCATATTTGTAAAAGAATACAAGAATATAGCCATGCTATTTAAAAAATATAAAAAATAATCATACCCCACATTAAAAAGATTAAAAAATTATTTTGTTTTAAACCGAGAACATATATAGAATATAGTTTTAACTATAGCAAATGATTTTTTTGGACTATACTATAATATATGGTCTTACACGATAAAATTAATATAGTATAGTACTTGAGATTTTAATTATATTTACTATACTATATTAAAGAGAGGAAAAAAGAGAAGACAATAAGAGAGGAGGGGAGGAGGCGAGGAGAGAGGAAGAGGAGGAGAGATGGAATGAGTGGAGATGAGCAGAGGGGAAGTGAGGGGAAAATGATACAAGGAGAAGAGAAGATCGAAGGAAAAAGAAAAACAAACAAGAATAATTTTGTATATATTGTAGAATATACAAAAAATATAATAACCTCTATATTAGTATGGTTATTTTCTGAATTATAGGTATTGATATGGTTATATAAGCCAATTTCCCATAAAAATAAGCAGATCTTTCAACTATCTATATGTCAACCTATAGGCTATAAGGATCCTCTTTCACTAAAAAAGGTAAAATGTATGAAATTTTTGATATAATGTTAGCTACCAAAACCGTTTGTTTGAATCTACCCAATAGAAAGCTTCATATAGATTGCAAATCTTTTATATTTTGACCACAATTCGGGTAAGGTACTTTTCAAACTTTGGCGCATTGAATCCATGCATACGCGATTTGTTTCACTTTTTTTTGTGTTATTTGGAATGCATGGTAAATGTATAAATAATAAGTTAATAATTAATATATATTCACATACACAAAGATATTTTATATACTAAAACACAACCACTTAAAAAATTATTACAATTTATTTTTATAACTTGTCTCAATTTTTCAGTTTAGTTATTTTCGTTTATCAAGATCTAAAACGTTAATCATTTTACTTTTAAATTGTTACCTTATGCAAAACAAGATTATCAATCTCATACGATCTCTCCAGTCTAAACTATTGTGATCAGGGGTGGACGCAGAAAAATTATTTATATGGGACATAAAAAAATATTATAACAAAAAAATTATAATTATAAACTTTTTATTGAAAAATGATATCTTATATTGAAATTTAAGTTTTAAAAAATATAATAATAAACAAAACTATTTCCATCGATTTTTTGATATTTTCACATATAAAAATATATACTCGTTTAAAAAAATATATAAATAATAATAAAATGGTTTTTATACAAAATTAGATTATAAACTATTTGATAAACATCTAATAAAATTTAGTGTCTTTAGTTATTTGTTTTTAAGTATATTACTGTAAAAAAAAAATAAGAAAAAACTAGTTTATTAAAATTCAAAGAAAGAGAAACAACAGTATGTATATTAAAAATATAAAATAAATGAAAAGATATAAAATGTAATAGAAAAGAATGATAGAAAAAGTTGGAAAAAGACATGAGAATGGTTTACATGAAAATTAAATAAATAAAGAAAACATGAAAAATACAACAAAACTTTTCTTAAAAAATTTCAAATGTTATTATCCAAAACCAACTAATCTAACCTTTAGTAGTTACTCATTGGGAAATCTACGCAATGAGTGTGGGGCACGTGCCCCACCCCATTACCATGTAGATCCGCCCCTGATTATGACATTATATTACTTTTATTATCATGAAAAATTGTTTATTTTGGATTGATAACCAAATTTGATGCGATTTTAGATTCATTTTTAAAATTTGTGTGGTATTAAATTGGAAAGTTTATATATATATAGCTTCTTAAAAAGGTTCAAATTAGTTGACCAAAAAAAAAGGTTCAGATTTTTGTATGGTTGGAATAAATATAAAACTTTTGTTGGAAGTGTGGATGAGTGGATCGATCATTTAAAAATAAAAAATTCTTTGTAAAATTTATCAAATATGTTCTATATGTTTCGCTATTTTAGTGAAAAAAGAATAACATGGAGAGAAAAAAACCGAAAGTGTGGTGATTTAATGGTGCAAGGGGGTTGCTCCTTTGTGCCCCCAACACGTTTCATACGAAATGTTATTCTTTAAAGAGATTGGAATATCTAAATGCTGACTTTCGAGTCTTTGCTTTGGTTGTGTTACTGTATATGTACATGAATACCGCTACACACATTTAAAAATGTATTCTTTTCGCGAGTTTTTCATAATTTAACTTGGATTAAATGCTAGTAAAAGAAATTTACTTTCCCTTTGTCCCCTGCATAGCAAATTAGCATTGGCCATAATTCTAGCTACAAGTACAAAATTAACTATTAACTACACATACTAGGATACTAGGAAGCAAATCGCGTCTAAGTGTAACTTTTTAAGGATATCGGATGTGTTCATATCATGCTAAAGATGTGAATTAACCATTTTAAGGATATCGGATGGTTTATTTTCCGGTTATCTATTTATGGTTGGATCGGATTGTTTTTGGTTCAGCTAAGTTTCAATTATTGTTTTTTTTTTGTTTTTGTCGTTTTTTCAGTATTCACTATTTGGATCGATATTGACGGTGGGGCTAATCCTTGTATCATTAAAATGTGGGAAATTAGCTGATTTGGTTGGTCGTGTCAACGTAAGTATCCATTGTCATATTTTCAACTGAATATTATTAAACAATCATGGATTTAATCATCTAATTTTGTGGTTCTCTTTGAGCCAGACAATTTGGATTACAAACATCCTCGTGTTAATTGGCTGGTTGGCTATTGCATTTGCTAAGGTTTGCTATATTCTGAGTATTTTTGTTTGTTTTAAATTTTAAATTTTAATAATGAAATCTCGTCGTAAGTCGATAAATTATTCTAATTCCTTAAAATATATAATTTTATATTTTGTTCTTTAATTTTTTTTTTTTGAACAAAGGGTGTTTGGCTGCTCGATCTCGGAAGGTTATTGCAGGGGATCTCGGTCGGAATTACCTCATATTTGGTATGATTGAATAAAATTAGAGTTGATAAACTTTTTTATTTCTTGTAGTTTTTTGGTTTTTATGGCCTGACATTTTGATTTATAGGCGGAAAAAAAAATTAAACAAAGTTTGCTTTTGTAAGTTTTTGGTTCTTAATTAGGCTTTGTTAATTAATTTGATAAATTCAAAATGTTTTTATAAAATTTTAAGACGATATTTGACTATATTGAAAATGAATATTTGTTTTTTAGGTTCTTTTGGTATGAGATTTTTGTTAATAAATAATATAATCTATAATAATCATTAATCATAGGGACCGGTTTACATTATCGAAATAGCTCCAAGAAACCTGCGAGGAGCTGCTTCTTCCTTTTCTATGGTAAATTAAGAGAACCAAAATCTTGAATCTATTGCACAAACGTACTTTTCCTACAATACATTTGTTTTTTTTAATGCTCTTCAGTTATTCGTGGGCGTTGGTCTCTCGGTCTTATTTCTACTTGGAACAGTCGTTCCTTGGCGCAATTTAGCCATTTTGGGTACGTAGAAGAGACTAATTCTTATCGAATGCAAAAATCCCACTTTTCTTCATTTCCTTAAAATTATGGAGAAAAAATTAGTACTGAATGTTCAAAAAAAAAATTTTTTTTTTAATACTTATGGTTTTGTGTTTTTGGTTTTGGACGGGATCTATATTTTGTCTAATGGTTCTACCTCTTCTTTTCTTCATCCCTGAATCTCCTAGATGGCTAGTAAGCGCTTGGTTATTATTTTATGTTTACAAAAATATTTTTTTGGGTGATAAAATGTGAATTTATGTTTACAATTTACATTTGAGGTTCTTGTAACAAAATTATAGGATATAACAAAATAAGATCGCGTGTTTAAACAGAGTGTTTCTTGATGTGTATACTATGTTATGTACACAATAATATTTTTATGGTAAAGACAAACATATGCGCTTGATTTGTATTTTAAAGAATACAAACTTGTCTCGCAGGCTAAAGTAGGGAGGGAAAAGGAGGTCGAAGCGGTTTTGTTAAGGCTGCGAGGAGCAAAATCCGATGTATCAGACGAAGCAACAGAGATATTAGTAGGGACATTTAAATGTATATATATGCATCAATAATCACATATATATATATATATATAATCGTATCTTTACATTGGTTTCCAACATTTTGAATTTTCTTGATGATCATCAGGAATATACTCAACATGTTAAAGAACAACAAGACGTCAATGGCCGTGGTTTGTTCAAGCTGTTTCAGCGAAAATACGCGTTGTCACTTACTGTAAGTAACTCTTCCAAAAGAGAGAAAAAGAAAAACTTTAAAGCATTATTGTTTTGGTATTTTGTTTGATTATTTAGCCCATTGGTTTAACAGATTGGAGTAGTTATTGTAGTTTTGCCTCAGCTTGGAGGTTTTAATGGCTATACTTTTTACACTGACTCCATTTTCACCTCTACCGGTAAATAAAACCTAGTTCTTCTTCTTCGATCTTGCTTCATCGAACAGTCAATAATAATCCGATAATCAGGTGTATCGAGCGACGTTGGATTCATATCGACATCCATTGTTCAGGTTTTACTTATATAAGATCATATAGTATGATTATAATTCCTATAAGTCTTTTTTTTTTGTTTCCGTATAACATTCAAAATATATTCTTGCAGATGGTTGGAGGCATTTTAGGAACTGTGCTTGTGGATGTATCCGGAAGACGTTCACTCCTACTAGTAAAATATATTTTAAAATGAAATGAATTACCAAAAAAAAAATACAATTTGAAAGTGTAAATAACCGAAATCTATATATAGGTTATTTTGAAGAAAATTTAGGAGGATTTTTGAGTGATTGTAGGTTTCTCAAGCTGGAATGTTCTTGGGTTGTCTTGCAACAGCCACTTCATTCTTCTTGCAGGCATGCTTACTGTTCTATCTAATCTACTAAACCGATGGTTTGGTTTCAATTTTGAATAACCGGAATATGTAATATCCATTACTGGGAAACAGGAACACCTCTCTTGGCTCTCATGAGTGTTCTGGTAATATATAAACTACCAGGTAATATATAAACTACTAGGTGGTTGCCTGCACATATGTGCGGGTATAATTTTTTTTATATACATAGTTAATTGTAATATTTAAATATTGATTAGTTTTTTTAAACATTGGATGTTTGTATATATATTGTTTTAATATTTCACAAACTTTTTTCTGAAACCACTGTATTTTTAAAAACGTTATTTTTATAATGCTTGTAATAATATATAATCACAAATATAAAAGTCATGTTAAATAATAATTAAATTTTTATAATATTTTTTGAATATTTCTATAGTATGCTTTATTTCTACTTATACAATCTACAATATGCTTTTTGCTTCTTACATAATATGAATTTGCAAATACATATATAATATATTTTAAGTACATATATTTTTCTTGATTTATTACAAATTAAACTGAAATAGTTTTTACCATTTTTACTTATTCTTAAGAGCGGATAGATGGTTGGCACGCATGTGCGGACATACCAACCACTTCACTACACTTAGAAAAGATAAATATTTTTTTAAAAAATATAAATTGTATAATAATTAAAATAAAAATTAGTTTGTAATCAATCTTAACAAAATACATGTACGGAAAAGTTCACATGAGACTTCAACTAATGTATAATTAATATTTATGTCTGTACGCGTATTTGTAAAAAAATTAAAATATGGCTCTTAGGTGTTAAATTTTTTTTAAGTAACTTTGTAAAACAAAGTGCGAGAGATTTATTTTTACATACTTCTATTTTATTTTTTATTCATATTGTTTCATCTTATTATAATTTATTCTTTTGTTCGGTTATTTTTTATTTTATTTATGTTCTCAAAATTTTGATATACAATGAAAATAAATTTATGTATGATATAAAATTTATTTTTATTTAAAATATGATAAAAGATAAGATGAGATGGTAACATAAGTTATATACATTTTAGAAAACAACAATAAAAAGATGATTAAAGTTAGAGAAAAATATATGGTCCTATTAATATTATAAAATAATAATTAGTATATACTTTATTGATTTAGTAAATATTGGTTTGAAAAGAAAAATTATTTGAAATTAAGTTTTAAAAAAAAATCAATAAAAGTTGATTATTTTTTATTTTTTTAACATTTTATCCTTTAAATTATTTTTATCATGTATTTTATTTGAAATTGTATTATTTAATAATTTGTTTATTTAAAACTTGTTTAGATGTTATTAATATATTTTATAAATTAATAACTTTCCGAAATAAAAATATATTATACTTCAAGTATTATTAATAAATAGAATTTTTATTATTCTATTGGATAATTTAGTATTATTTTCTGTTTTATATAAAATTATAATATATATATATATATTTGAAATTTTTTCTTAATTATATTTTATGAAATTATGAATATATGTAAAAAAATTGAAAAATTATAATAACTTTTAATTTCTGTTAATTGAAATTTGTTAATTTTAGTGTTATAAATATAATTCAGTTTATTTATGTTTTAATTCCATAATTTCTATAATTTTAATTCAACCAATCAAAACATTTCGTTTATTTTAGGAAATTTGACATGTCATATTTACATGTCATCAATTAAAAGCATTAACTTTGACTGTAGTGTTGACAAATTAGCTATTTTTAATAATGTTACTTCTCAAATAATATGTAGTAGATTATCACAATAATATATAATTTTATTTTTGAAAATTTGTCTAGAGTAAAAATTGTGTTTTTTGCGTATAAAATAAATTAGGTGTATTTTGGATCATACGGATTAGGCATGGGACCTATACCATGGATCATAGCATTAGAGGTAAATTAATCGAAAGTTAAAAAAACAAATCACATAAATTTAAATGTTAAATGATTATGAATTTATTATTCATGTTCTTTTTCTTGAATAGATTTATCCGGTAGACGTGAAGGGAGCAGCGGGAACAATGTGTAACTTGGCCAGCTCTATAAGCTCATGGCTCGTTGCTTATTTCTTCAGTTTCTTGCTTCAGTGGAGTTCCACAGGTAACTAAAATTTTATTACATACAAAGAAACTTTTAATTAAAATAAATGATATTCTTCATGAACTTGGAAAACAAAATTATTGCAGGAACATTTATCATCTTTGCCACATTGATTGCCCTTGGATTTGTGTTCACAGCCAAGCTTGTTCCAGAGACCAAAGGAAAATCTTTAGAAGAAATTCATTCTCTTCTTTATGATAATGATTCTCCTAAAGATTCTACAATATTCTAAAAATTAAAGTAAAATGAAAGATTCTAGCTATACATAATCAGTTGCTGGTATAGATTTAGCCGAAATGCATGGATTCTCGTTCAGAGATACTGGAACTCGTAAATCTTTTGCATCATCTTGTTCTTCATATTTTCTCTATTTCTTTAGTGTTATTTGTTCGAGCAACAAGTGTGTATATTTTGAATAATGAGAATATTATACGAAATTTAGCCAATATTCATGCCAAGTCATTATAATGGTTAATGGATGTCTTAGAGTTGGTAAACAACTTTATGGGGACATATGTTTAGAGTATTTTTTTGAGGTTTAGAATAAAATTACAAAACGGAGTCAAATGGCTTATTCTTATAGAAAACCCACAAAGGAACAAAAGCAAACGTGGTAAGTGGTAACCATTAGAAAAAAAAAAAAAGGAAAAGGAAACACATTTTGTGTGATTTTAGTTCCGCATTGCTTGCTTCACGAGACCAACGATCTTCCAAACCCACATTTATTTCCTCGAAATTATTTCGATTTAAAACCCAATTCTGTAAGTTTAAAAATCAGTAAAGACTTATTCTACCTTACAAAATTCCCAGAAAATAAACAGAAAAAACAAGATTGGAAAGTAAGTGAAGCGATTTTGATTCATAATCTCAGATTTCGGAAAAAAATGTCAGAAGAAGGTTTATTCGTACCTTTGCCTTCTGAATCTTCTACTTCACTTCTGTCTGAAATATCAAATGCCTCCACGAGAGCTTTTGTTCTTGCTTTCACTGTCGGTTCTTGCGGCGCCTTTGCCTTTGGATGCATTGTGAGTTCTTGATTTCTATTTTGTTTTTTTTTGTTTTGTAGTTCTTAATTTTCTATTGATTTTCGGATTCATGCATGTTAAATTTTAGTAAGTTTATTTATTACAGATCGGATATTCGGCTCCTACACAGTCTGGCATCATGAAAGACTTGAATCTCTCCATAGCTGATGCAAGTTCATTTTTTCATTCTCTCTCGGTTTATTCCGGTTCAGCTTATTTTCAGAACTATTAATTTGTTGCTTATTTCAGTATTCACTTTTTGGATCGATATTGACGGTGGGGCTAGTCCTTGGAGCATTAATCTGTGGAAAATTAACAGATTTGGTTGGCCGTGTCTACGTAAGTTTCCACTTGAGAAAAATTAGTTCTAAATTTCCAAATTGTATTTTAATTATTTCTTTTCATATCAAACTGAATTTAATTATACAACTAGGTGGTCTTCCGCGCCTTGCACGGATAAATCACTTTTAATATTATTAATACATTAATTCTGATATAAATATAATAAATTAATTATATTAAAATTTTGTGTATAAGAAAAAAAGAAAATTATTTTCATATAATTTAAAAATTATTCTTATAAAATTAGAGTACTATAAAAATATCAAAATGAATAAATAATCAAATAATTTGTCAATTTTCTATGAATTTTTGTTTTATTAAATTCAAAGAAAACAAACAAATAACAAAATATCAAAATTTATATGAACTAACCTAAATTTAAAAAAATGATATGAAATAAAGTAACAAATACATTACACTATTTATAGGAATAAAAATTTGGGGTTTATACCATCTTTTTTTTTTATAATCCGACAAATATAGATACATTTTTATCTTTACAAATAAAATAAAAATATCATTTTTGAATTAATCTAAATCAAGATATAACCATAAATATATATATAGTCAATTTATTAAGATTAATTACTTTTTCGATAAAACTACTTAAAATATATTAATTTTTATTATTTAGTATAATTGTTTTTAAACCAAACTTATTAAACATAATAATTTTCACATACAGTCCAATTTGTTTCTTAATTAATGATATGATGTTCTTGTTTTTTGAGTTTTAGTTTTCTCCAATGATTATAAGTTTTACAATTCAACAATAGTTGAAGTAAACCAAAGAAAAACATAAATCAAACAAACCTCATTGGAAGCTTAAAAAAAACTGAATTTGGGGAAGATGTATTCCTAAATTAACGAAAATCAAGAGTGGCAATCAGATTTTGATACCCATGCTAATTGTTTAAAATCAGAGAGAACAAAATAAATAAACCGATCAAGAAACCAAAATTTTATATACATTTTTTTAACTATATAGTTAATTACACTTCCTGATAAAAAATAAGGCTATTTTCCTATCTTTCCTCTCAATCTTGCACTTATGAAAAAAACCTCCTCATTACGATAGATTAAACGCTTTGATGGAGCTATGCTCTGCATCCAAAAAGTAGTAATTCCCTTCCACTTTGAATCTCACTAACGGCATTTACGTGTCTCGATAACGTATGTCTGAGAATTTCAATGTCTTTGGGGTAAATGTGGCAAGCCAAGTCATCATATCAACCTCAAAAGTGTCTGAATCGGGTTGCCACCTCAGCTTGTGAACGTAGTGGCAAACAAACCAGTGGAGAGCAGCGTGGAGGCAACCACATCTTTCATGATCATGTTCGATGCCTGGAAAGTGATGACTGACCAAATGAAACAGAGAGAATTAATTAGAAAGTAAGTAAAAAACAATAAGAAACAAAGAAACAAATCACAATTTCACTTGTATGCTCCACCGATTTTTCCCACATTCTGTTTGACATTCCATTCCCAAATAATGGGAAACACACATTTTAAATCACAAAATCTGTTTAGAATCAGGTTTATGCGAGAAAACATCATGAATAACGAATAACCATCAAATCAAAAGAGCAAAACACACATTAAAAAACAGTCATGATCAAACAAAACACAGTGCAAAAGTATTGAACATAAATCAAACACTCACTAATTATATTTTTTTGTGAGTAAAGAACTATCCCACCATGCAACCTAAAAAAAGATTTCAGATCAGATAATATAGTTTGAGTCGGGATTATGCAAACAAAGATTACAAAACATCAACTAATGATTAATTGATTAGTGATTTGTTAGTATCTGCCCTTAACTCTTAACTTTCAACAACTCTGTTTAATGGAGAGATAAAAAACGTGAACTGAAGTTCGAGGAAGAGAGGCGCAGAGATTAGCAGCAAATCAAGTGAAAGGCTTTTCTTCACAAAATAATAAATTCAAATCAGATTTGAATTTTCTATACTAATTTAAAAACTTCATTATAGAACATGGTGATATAATTGCAAACAGAATCTTTTTAAATTATAAATACTAAGATGAACTCACATAAAGAAAAACCAAATTAAATACTCACAATGATATAATACAACTTTTGTCAGAGCAAAGTGAAAGAAATATCATAATATAGAAATAAATGAAGATTTAAAAGAAAGCAATGAACTTAATATATGAAAAAACATAGAAAGTAAACATTATCTGATGTTTCCAAGAGTGGAAGATATCAACAGACAATAGGGAAACGAAATAATATAATAGATAATAGATTGGTAATCGAAACATAATGATCAAGCCTAAGCGGGGAGATATATAAAGTAGTAAATACATTTTATGCAAATTACTTCAGCTTCATTCCTCATATTCTTTCTATTCAGCTTCTTTTTCGATTGGCTATAGATTAAATCAAACTAAACAAACAAATAGAGACTCTCAAACAAATTTGAATCACTTTTTGAAAGTTTTTCCTTTCGATTCTTTTTCTCTCTATGTTCTCGACACCTAATTAAAAAGTTAAGTAAAACAAAACACATGATTCGGAACCACTACGACCAAAACCTTTAAACGAAAGGTTGAAGGCACACCAAAACTTTAAACCAAACACACGAAACAACAAAACCATAATTAAAGATTACAAGAAAATAAATAAGACGAATTACCATAGCCATGTTATATAAACACGGCTGTCTTCCCAAGAAACGCAACGTCCAGACCATAGATGTAACATAAATACTCAAACAGGTCGGAGGCATTTTTATATAATTTATAATCTAAAGTTTTATAATCTAGGGTTTTAGTAAACATAATGGCCCAAGTTACATATCATTTATCGATCCATTGAAACATACTAAACCATATCGATATTAAATAACATAAAACCGCTTCAAAACCAAACCAATCGCATAGTTTAATTTAATTAATAATTTTATTAAGGATTGTTAAAATAAATTAAGATGAGGGAAAGTAGTGTGACCTAAAAATTCTAAATAAAAATATTTATAATGTTGAATGAGTGAGAGATTATTTAGGGCTTCTATGTTATCGACATATGGTAGAGATTATTTGATGATTTTTATAATTTTTATAATTTTTATTAAGAGTATTAATTTTCATTAAGGGTAATTGAAGTATTTTCATATAAGAGGCAAAAAGTAATCAACCATAATAACTCTCAACCACAGCCCAACTTGCTTGTCAATTAATAATATGATTTCTGGATTATGATCCTCTTTTGTTATTTCTTTCCGAGGCAGACAATATGGATCACAAACCTTCTCTTCGTAATCGGCTGGTGTGCTATTGCATTTGCCAAGGTTTGCCATAGTTATTTTTATTTTATTTTACAATTTTGAATTACGATGATGAATGATTTTAGTTCTTTTTTTGTTTTTTGAACATTTGCTAATGATTTTAGTTCTTTCAGATATCTTATAATTATTATTATCATTGTTCTTTAATTTTGAGCAAATTTAAGGGTGTTTGGCTGCTCGATCTTGGGAGGTTATTGCAAGGGATCTCGGTCGGGATTAGCGCATATTTGGTATGAATGAATAAAACTTAACGTGTTTGATCTAGTTTGATTTTGGTTTACTGCTTTTTTTATTTTGTATTTTCTGATTTTCATGATCCTACATTTTGATCTAGAGGTCAGTATATGGATCTAACATAATTTGCTTGTAAGTTGTAAGTGTAACTTTTTTGGCTTAGATTTGTTAATTACTTTGGTAGATTCAAAATGTTTGATCAACTTTTGAGACGAAATATATATGAGACGAGAACTATATCTATTGGTAATTTGGTATGAGTGATTTTTTTAGGTAATTTTTATAATGTGAAAATCATTAATCACAGGGACCGGTTTACATCACCGAAATAGCACCAAGAAACTTGCGCGGAGCTGCTTCTTCCATGGCGCAGGTGAATTAAGAGAACCAAAATCTTGAAAACTATATTATATAAATGTAATGTTCCTACAATACAAGTTTTGAATGTTCAACAGTTATTCGCGGGCGTTGGTATATCAGTCTTTTATGCACTTGGAACAGTAGTTTCTTGGCGCAATTTAGCCATTTTAGGTATGTCAAAAAGATCGTTTCTTATTAATTTCAAAAGTTCGAAGTTTCTCATTTCCTTTGAAGAAAATAAAAAGTTGTACTAATGCTTTTGTGTTTTTGTCTTTGGACAGGATCTATACCTTCACTAATGGTTCTGCCTCTCCTTTTTTTCATCCCCGAATCTCCTAGATGGCTAGTAAGCACTTGGTTAATTAATCTTCACATGAAACCTTAAATCAAATTAGCTGAAATAATAACTTGTTTTGTAGGCTAAAGTTGGTAGGGAAAAGGAGGTTGAGGCGGTTTTGTTAAGCCTGCGAGGAGAAACATATGATGTATCAGATGAAGCAACAGAGATATTAGTAAGGCTTTATATTTATGAATAATCATATATGATCTATATACATAATTATATTAATTTCTCAACATTTTGATGACCATCAGGAATATACAGAACACGCTAAACAACAACAAGATATCGACGGGCATGGCTTCTTCAAGCTATTTCAGCGAAAATATGCGTTTTCACTTACTGTAAGTAACTCTTAAATAAAGTTAATTAAAAAAAACCTTCAAAGCATTATATATATAGTTTTTGCATTTTTTTGATTATTTAACCCAATTGGTTTAGATAGATTGGAGTTGTTCTTATAGCTTTGCCTCAGCTTGGAGGTCTTAACGGTTATTCTTTTTACACTGACTCCATTTTCACCTCTACCGGTAAATAAAAACCTCATTCTTCTTCAATGGATCTGTTCTTTTTATTTTCGTTTACCACAAGTATGATTACTTCATTTGAGTGGTCATTAATAATCCAATGATCAGGTGTATCAAGTGACTTTGGATTCATGTCAATATCTGTTGTTCAGGTTATATATAGTAGATTAGAGCATTATTATATTTACATATTTCTTTAGTTTCTCGTATAACATTCGAAACAATTTACCGATTATTTTTAAATACATTCTTGTAGATGTTAGGAGGCATTTTAGGTACTGTACTTATTGATGTATCTGGAAGACGTACGCTTCTACTGGTATCTTAACTATTAAACACTCAGTTACCAAAATCGATATGTTAATTTGTTCGGTTTTTGAAGAAAATTTAGGAAAACTTTTTGAGTGATTGTTTTGTAGGTTTCTCAAGCTGGAATGTTCTTGGGTTGCCTCGCCACAGCCATTTCATTCTATATGAAGGCATGCACATTATTCATTGTACTCTTAGAAACCGGATGTTGGTTTTTACTTTTTTAAACCGGACCGTAATATTTCTGGTTTTCTATTTCTGCAGGAGAACCGTTGCTGGGAAACGGAAACACCTATCTTGGCTCTCTTTAGTGTTATGGTAGAGATAATAGAGAAATATCTAAAAACTAATGTTCCTTTGGGTGATGTTCAACTGATAGAGCTGCCTAAGCTGGATAGATTTAGGTTTTTCTGATTTTTTTTTAAAAAATTTGAGATTTAAAATTATATTATTAAAGATTATATATACTTTTGATATGAAATTTAAACTATTTTCTTAACTGTGTTTTGTGTGTTTATTAAATCAGGTGTATTTTGGATCATATGGGCTAGGCATGGGATCAATACCATGGATCATAGCATCAGAGGTAATTAAACACTCAAAATTCTAAAAATATACAAAAAAAACAAAAAAAAATTGAATCACAGCTATCTACATACAATGTTAAAAGATATTCAATGTTAAATTCATTTATAATAATTACTTTTTTCTAGATTTATCCGGTAGACGTGAAGGGAGCAGCGGGAACGATGTGTAACTTGGCCAGCTCTGTAAGCTCATGGCTCGTTGCTTATTTCTTCAGTTTCTTGCTTCAGTGGAGTTCCACAGGTAAAACTTTAATATTATCTAAGTAATATAAATTATATATATATATATATATATATAGTTTATACAATTTCTGCATTTTGAAATAAAGGCTGTAAAAAACTTTTTAATTTGTTGAACTATGTTTTTACAAATTTTTTATTGCAGGAACATTTTTGATATTTGCCACAGTGAGTGGCCTTGGATTTGTGTTCATAGCCAAGCTTGTTCCAGAGACCAAAGGCAAATCTTTAGAAGAAATTCAATCTCTTTTCACTGATTGTCCTACTCAATATTCTATAGTTTTGTAATAACAATTTATAGCTTTTAATCCTTAACTTCAAGTGTTTACTTCTGTTTACTAGTACTTACTTAGTAGGAGTACTCTCTAGGAGTCTTTTGTAAACCGAGGTTTACTACTCCCTCAGGTTCTTATTGATAGTTTGATGTTTTGCCTTATTCACATAAATGAAGTACTAATTAATTGTTACTTATTAATGAGTTGCTTTTTATACTAACTACTCAATAATTATTAACCAATAACAATTTAAGAATATAAACACTTTTAGTTGAGATTTTTTGAAGTTTACAATCGATTAACATTAAATAACAAAAAATACATATAACTCTTTCAAATATTGTTTTTGGAAATAAAAATAAAACCTTAAACATCAAACTAAACAGAGGGAGTATATTGCAGGAACGTAATATCGTAATTAATTGCCTTTTCCTAAGGGTTTTTAATAGAAAAAACCTCATAATTTTTCAGTCGGTACTTCTTCAGCATTTCGTTTTGAGTCGCATCAATTCTCGTTCTCGTCACGTTCGACATGCACTAAATACATGGTTCCGGTTTCCAAAAAATTATGTTTCTTAATTTCCGGTTGCTCACCTCAGAGTCACATGCCCCCCCCCCCCCCCCCCCCCCCCCATTAGTGTATGTTAAATAGGCTAATAATTAAAGTTAATACTAAACTATTGCTGCATGTTGGTAAATTCTAAATCTGCACGATACGACACGTACGAGTAGAAGAAGGAGAGACTTGGCACGTGAGCTTGCGGTAGTTGGCGATGTTTGTGTTTTAGCTGCCTTTTAGGTCGTACACGTTTACGTCAGTACCCAGAGAGTCGTTAACTTTTTTTTTCTAAGAAAAAGACAAATGAATTGTTTTGGTGACTGATTACAACCTAATCTTTAATGCTTAAAGAGGTTGATTGCTAAATGAATGGTGATTTTTTGTGACTATTTGAACAAATTACCAGTAGACTATTACTGTATTTAACTAAAAAAACTCAAATTGTCTATTACTCTATGGTATAATAGCTTTCTTCATGATTTAGGTTGAACATACCACTGGACTATAGTCCTCTTTGTTAGCTTAATCTCAGAGAAAGCAAGTTTGACTCGTGCTAATAATATAACTGTGTGCATAAAATACACAAAATTATACTATAAATTATTGATATAATAAAAAAAATGTGATTGGCAGTGTACATCCAGATCATATTCGTTATCATAATTAAAATTGTAATATGATTGATCAACGGATATAAAAGTTTCATCATGCAATTATTGATACAATCAGAAGAAATGAAAGTAAACATTCTAAATATATCTTACAATATTATCATTGGAAATAAATAATTTTAATTAAAAACTGTAAAATCAATACTGAACACTATGTCAAATCACATACCAATCAAAACATCGATTTACTTTTTGTGATTTATTTTATGGTTTTTCAAGTTTTTATCAACTATAAAAGGTCGTAGAATTGTAAATTATATTCGATCATTCGATTCGACCACTCCGTAAGAACATTGACAGAAAGAAAGATAATTTATAAGTTCTTACTTGGTAGTTCTACACATTTTGTTTTCACAGATTTATCGATTCATTTAGCAATGCAATTCTTACCTATTATAGTAGTTCTTCTACTTATAATGATAATAATAATAAAAAAAAACTAGTGCTCATTAAATGAAATAAAACCAGGTGTCATGACCAAAGAAAAGGGAGAAAACGATTTGAGTTTTTTAGTTTATTTCTCTATGACTACGATCTAATTCTAAAAAGTCAATTTATCTTCCTTTCCTTTTGAGGCAAGTTCTATACCATTATTTTCAGGTTCAGAAAAAAATGGAGGAAGAAGGGTTATTGCGATCTCATACAGAAGAATTATTAGATTCTCCTAAGAAATCATCTTCGCTTCTGTCTGAAATATCAAATGTCTCCACGAGACCTTTTGTTCTTGCCTTCACTGTCGATTCTTGTGGCGCTTTTGTCTGTGGATGTGTTGTGAGTTCCTAAACTCGATTTATTAAACTCTTAAATATTTGTTTGGGGGTTTTAATTTTCGGATCAAAATCAAGAAATTTGTTCATGCATCCCAATATTAATTACTATATTTTTTTTTTCTTTTTCTTCCAAAGGTTGGATATTCGGCTCCTACACAGTCGGGTATCATGAAAGACTTGAATCTCTCAGTTGCTGATGCAAGTCTAATTTTCTCTTTCGGTTTATTCCGATTTGGTTCGACCGAATTTGTTTTTGGTTTGGCCAATTATTTTTCATTTATTTTTTCATTTTGTCTTTAGTATTCGCTCTTTGGGTCGATATTAACGGTGGGGATAATCATTGGGGCATTAATCAGTGGGAAACTCACAGATATGGTTGGTCGTATCTACGTAAGTTTTCCATTTTCTTTTGTCAAATTTAGTTTAATAATACAATTATGACTATATATATATATATATATATATATCCTTGTTAGTATATTATATATAATCATTCTTCGTGGTTCTATTGACTATTCAAACCAGACAATGTGGATCATCAACTTTTTCATCCTAACCGGCTGGTTCTCTATTGCATTTGGCAAGGTTTGCCAATTTCTCAGTTTTTTTTATATATATATTTGTTTTCGCTAATGAAACGAGGTCGGCTAAATCGTTAAATTATAATCTTTTTGTCGACACTTTTACAAAATGGTCCCTCTTTTTTCTTTTTTTTTAACATGTTCTTAATATGTTTTTCAGATATCTTAAAATTTGTTTGTTCTTTAATCTTAAGGATATTTGGATGCTCGATAGCGGAAGGTTATTGCATGGGATTGCACTCGGAATTAGCATATACGTGGTAACACCCCAAACCGTAAATTAATGAATCATTATTTAGTTTATTTTGAGCAGCATAATATCAACAATTTAGAGCTTTAACACGTTCCAAGTTTTGCATGTATTTAGTTTATAGATTGGACATATATTTCTTGTAGATGTAAATTCAAAGAGTTTTGTCAACATTTTCAGACTTGAACATATGGTTGTGTTCTATGTTGGATAACGTATTAAACAGATAAATAATCTACAAATACGAAGATTTTTAACGGCTAGTAGTAGGTAGACTTAAATGCAAAATTGCAAAATGCGAGCTATTAGAACACTTTTTTTTTGTAATTATTGGTTATGAAATAATCATTAATCACAGGGGCCGATTTACATTACTGAGATAACACCAAGAAACTTGAGAGGAGCTGTCTCTTCATTCACCCAGGTGAAATTAAAGAACCAAAATCTTGAGATTATATACAGAAATATATGTTTCTAACTTTCTAGGATAATTTTTTTTTAATATTATCTACAGTTATTTGCGATCCTTGGCTCATCGGCCTTTTATGCACTTGGAACAGTCGTTGCTTGGCGCAAATTAGCCATTTTGGGTATGTAAAAGGGATCAGTCCTCATTCAAATTGCAGAAACGTAGAAACAAAAAAAAAAAAACTCTAACTAATGGTTTTGTGTTTGTCTTTGGACAGGAGCTATTCCTTTTCTTGTGATTGTTCCTCTTCTTTTCTGTATCCCCGAATCTCCTCGATGGCTAGTAAGCGCTTTATCTATTCGCGTTTATGTTTAGAGTTTAGACGTTAGATTATTGTGTATTAAAAAGATATTTGTTGTTGATTTTAACATTTCAAAGATTTAAAAACATATAGGTAATTTATTATTTGTATTTAAAAAAATCGGATCAGGCAAATGTGAATGATTTAAACTAATTAGACGAGTTCATCTGTTTTGTAGGCTAAAGTAGGGAGGGAGAAAGAGGTTAAAGCGGTTTTGCTAAGGCTGCGAGGAGAAGAAACTGATATCTCAGATGAAGCAAAAGAGATATTAGTAAGGGCTTAATTATATCAATAGTTCAATACTCATCTTACATATGTCTTTTTTCTTTTTATTGATTTTCCTAACATTTTGATGATCATTATAGGAATATACAGAACATGTTAAACAGCAAGAAGATGGCGACCGAGGTTTCTTTAAGCTGTTCCAGCGAAAATATGCGTTCTCGCTTACTGTATAACTCTTCTTTTTGGAGTGTAAAATAGAATAATTATCAATTGTTCTTGCATTTTTCTTGATAATTTAAAACCATCTGTTGTAAACAGATTGGAGTTACTCTTATAGCTTTGCCTGATCTTGGAGGACTAACTGGTTATAGCTTATACACCGATTCCATTTTCACCTCTACCGGTAAATATGTCTTTGCTTCTTCTTTAGATTTCTTTTACCGCGATGATTGTCAGTTAATTAATTTATTTGATGATCAGGTGTATCAAGCGACTTTGGATTCATAACGACATCTCTAGTTCAGGTTTTACTGATTTGTGATCATAGAAAATGAATCATAATACTTTTCATATATTATATGATCAATTTAAACACTTCTTTTGCAGATTTTAGGTGGTGTTTTAGGTACCGTGCTTGTGGATGTTTCTGGAAGGCGTTCACTCCTACTGGTATATACTTCTTCCGTTTTTTTATATAAGATATTTTAAGATTTTTTTTGTTTGAAAATATACGATGTTTTCAAAAATGAATGCAAAATTTACTATAAAATAACTTGTTTTATCTTTGAATTAATTGACAAACAAATAATAATAAATAAAGTTATAATAGATATTTTACAAGTTAAATTTGTGTGTAAAACTTTAAAATATCATATAAACGGAGTGAGTATATTGTAAAAAATACAAGTCTTAATCAAATGCATAAATAACCAAAGTCAAACGGTTATTTAGATCTATTTTTAAAGAAAAATTAACAGATTTAATTGGGTGATTTTAGGTTTCTCAAGCTGGAACGTTCTTGGGATGCCTTGCCACAGCCATTTCTTTCTTCTTGCAGGCATGCTTTACTAATTCTACTCTACCAAACCGGTACATTGGTTTAATCTTTCTGGTTTAGTAGATCAAACCAGACCTTTTTATCTCTTACTTCACAGGAGAATCATTGTTGGGAAACAGGAACACCTATCTTGGCTCTCATTAGTGTTCTGGTAAATTTATCATGCAAATTAAGTATAAGTATATTGTCTTAAACAATGTCAAGAAAAAACATAATTAACTCCATTGTTTGCGTATCTATAAAATCAGTTGTATTTCGCATCATACGGAATAGGCATGTCATCAATACCATGGCTCATAGCATCAGAGGTAATCATTATTTTTTTTTATTATAAAGAAAATCAAATTATATTAAATACACAATCTAACTATCTAATATAGTATTAGTTCTTATATTTCATTTTTTTGTTCTTCAGATTTATCCAGTGGACGTTAAGGGAGCAGCAGGAACAGTCTGTAACTTGATCGGCTCTATAAGCTCATGGCTCGTTGCTTACTCCTTCAATTTTTTGCTTCAATGGAGTTCCACAGGTGATTTTAATATTATCCTATATTAGCTAAAACAAAATGATCATCTTTCAATTCCTGAAATGGGGGAGTTAAATTATTGCAGGAATATTTCTCATATATGCCACAGTATCTGGCCTTGGACTTCTGTTCATAGCTCAGTTTGTTCCAGAGACCAAAGGCAAATCTCTAGAAGAAATTCAATCTTTTTTTGTTGATTCTCCTTTTGAAGAAACTACATCCTAAAAGTTCCCCCAAATTATATTAAATGAAATTTGTAAACAAAATAACGTTTTTTATAATAAAATATCTGTAAACATTAATTAATTACTGTGTCCATGTTTTTGGAAAGAGTTACTGTATAAACATCACATTTCACACGAGTCCATTAAAACATTAGGGCTCTAAATGGTAATTACTAGTATAAGAACAATAAGAATTACAAGTACGAAAAAAATGAAACGGAATAAACAAATAAGAATTACTGTTTCTTCTGAAATTTAATAAATAATATATTAATTCTATAATTCCATAAAAAAAAAAGAAACCATGATAAAAAATCATGTGTTTATACTACTTTATAAATGATAAAAAAAAAAACTAAAGAATAAAAGAAATTTACTGCTCCTTTTCATTACTTTGGTCACCAGTTCAAGCTTATTTAAGACTGACCAAAGTTTTACAGAATGGAACTAGCAAATAAAATACTCAAAAGAAACAGCTTTTACTGAGAAGCACGACCTTTTGTTTTGTTTTTTTACTGTGATTCTGAGTTTTTAACCCACTGATCCTTCAAGCTTGATGCTCATTAGCTGATTAATTTCGGCTCCAAATTCATTAGGCAACTTGTTGAAGACATCTCTGCAGAATCCAGAGATCATTGCAGCAAATGCTCTCTCGTGATCGACTCCTCTCTGCTGGAAATAGAAAAGCTGATCCTCACTAATCTTTGAGGTACTCGCTTCATGCTCTACTCTCGCCGATGGATTCTTCACCTGTTATGTTTCAAAGCCACACCACAAAACAAACCAAAAAGTTTTCACCTTCGAAGACCCCTAAAACCATCAGATTTCAACAAGTGGTGTATCATATCATAGCTTATAACAAAGCTTTGCATCACACGCAATGGATACCTGGATGTAAGGATAGGTATTAGCAGCTGCATTGTCACCTATAAGCATTGAGTCACAAGTCGAAACGTTTTTCGCATTCTCTGCTTTCGACTGAACCTGAACAAGACCACGGTAACAGTTTCTTGAATTCCCTGCCGAGATCCCCTTCGAAATGATTCTGCTTTTTGTGTTCTTCCCTTTGTGAATCATCTTAGTCCCTGTATCAGCTTGCTGGTAGTTATTCGTCAATGCCACAGAGTAAAACTCTCCCACCGAATCATCACCTTCTAAAACCACGCTCGGGTACTTCCAAGTTATCGCAGAGCCAGTCTCAACCTGAGTCCAAGAGATCTTGGAGCGATCCCCAGCGCAAAGACCACGCTTTGTGACGAAATTGTAGATCCCTCCTTTACCTTGTTCATCCCCTGCATACCAATTCTGCACCGTCGAGTACTTGATCTCAGCTCCTTTACCACAGTAGAGCTCAACCACAGCAGCGTGAAGCTGATTCGTGTCATAGGAAGGAGCAGTGCATCCTTCTAGATACTCAACAAAGCTCCCTTCCTCTGCAACAATCAGAGTCCTCTCGAACTGACCAGTCTCCATGGCGTTAATCCGGAAATAAGTCGAGATCGGCATAGGGCATCTCGTGTTCTTGGGTATATAGCAGAAAGATCCATCGCTGAAGACAGCTGAGTTCAGAGAAGCGTAGTAGTTATCGTCACTAGGCACAACTCTTCCTAGATACTTCTTGATCAGATCAGGGTACTCTCTAATAGCTTCTGAGATGGAACAGAAGATGACACCTGACTTCTCAAGAGTCTCTCTGTGAGTGGTTGCTATCGCAACGCTATCGAAAACCGCACCAACCGCAACGTTAGCCAAACGCTTCTTCTCTGATAAAGGAACACCCAATTTCTCGAAATGCTCTAGAAGCTGAGGATCAGCTTCATCTAAACTGTTCAAAGTTGGTTTCTTTTTGGGAGCTGAGTAGTAACACATATCCTGGAAATTGATCGAAGGATACCTATTATCTGACCATTTAGGTTCTTCCAATTTCAGAAACTTTGCGTAAGCTTTTAACCTGAAATCAAGCATCCACTCTGGTTCGTCTTTCAGTTTCGAGATCAATCGGATCGTTTCTTCGGATAAACCTTTAGGGATCGTGAACGAATCGATATTCTCGACGAATCCGTACTTCTTATCGTAATCTACGTTCTGGAAATACTGCAGAAGTTTATCAGTGGAGCTAACGTTTGATGTACCTGATTCGGCTCCGATTGTGGGTGAATCGGAATCAACGTCGGCTCTGACTTTGAAAAGTCTCGTCGTCGTCGTCGTCGCGGTGGATAGCGGATTTAGGGTTTTCGGAAACGGAAATTTCAAGGATTCGGGTTTGGGATGAAACCCTTTTGGTAGTTTTGAGGCATCAGGTGTGGGCTGTGGAGAAAATCGGGAAATACTGTTCCTGAGAAGAGAAGTCATTGTTAACGCTCTAAAATAGAGAATTCAAAATTTAAATGTAGAAGAAGAAGATTTATTATAGAGTCACGTAGGATGAATTTGTTTGAATAATAAAAAAACTTAAAATTTTAAAAGTTAACTAAATATTTAGAGAATCAAAATTGGTTAGCTGTTAAAGTATATATATATATTATAAAACTAAATTTTCTTAGAAGATAATCATAATTGGTAAAGAAAAATAAAATAAAATATGTTACAGATATTAAGAAATACATATCATAATTATTAGGATTATTATAAGTTAAAAATTAAAATATGTCATAGGAGTATATCATAATAATATTTATTGATTTTTTTTTATATATTCAATTTTATTATATAAAATTCGATGCGTCAAAATTAATAATTCACTTAATTGTGATATGTGGCAATTTAAATCAATCAAATTTTGACATGTGTCGGTTAAAAAAAATATTTAGAAAATAAAAAAAAATAAAAAAGATAAATATAAATTAATTTAATAAGATAAACTTCTAATTATAAATAAAATATAAAATATAAAATAAACTTCTAACTCTAAAAGAAAAAGATCTATAATTTTCTTTTAAAAATCAAAAATAAAAATAATAACAATTAAGATAAACTTCTAATACTAAAAAAAATAAAGAATATATGATAAACTTTTAATTCTAAACGAAAAAAGAAGAATAAATCTCCATTTAGAAATTAAAAAAATTAAAATTTCATGAAAATCTACACTAAAACACTAATTCTAAAAAAAAAAAAGGAAACACAGCTATATAAAACAAACAAAATCTCTAACAATTTTTTATCAAGCAAAATAATTTCTCTTCAATTTTATTTAAGTTGGTATAATTTTTTTTCTTTATATTAGATTCGTTAATAACATTACATATGTATTATAATACCTATAATCAATCATGCATTATGTTTACATTGTCTTATGTTATTACAGCTGTACATATGAATTATGTTACCTATAATCAATCATGCATTATGTTTACATCGTTTTGTGTTATTACGGTGATACATATGCATTACAAATTAATAATTTAAATTTAAAACATGTGCAATGCACTGATCCATATCTAATTCATTATAACATACAAATAATAACACCTTTTTATTAATATTAATATCCTCTATATATTAATTGAGAAACGTTTTTAGAGATTAATCTTATTTTTGTTAATATTATAGTGGTATCATTTTGTTGATATGTCAATATCATAGAGCTTCTCAGTACACTTATTAAAAAAAAAATTGCTAGATTAATTACATGATGTGTCATTATGCATTTTTATGACTAAACAAATAATATTTTTTTTTAAGTATTCAAATAATATATTACTAAACCAAATTAATCTAAAAAATAAACACAACCCATAAAACATAAATATGATGTAAATTTTATAAGAATGATGTATAACTTTACTCAAATTATATTATTTTCTGGTAATTTTGATATGATTCATTTTTAAAAGTATTAAAAATGATATATTACTGAAGATAATATATTCCAAAATAATTTCCAAATTATTATCTTCAATAGAATCTAAAGATCAACCAAATATGATATTTTAGCTAAAATATATGTTTATAATCGATCTATTGAAAAAAAAAATTATATAACATCAAATCTATTTCTAATTTCAGTAAAAGAAGATAAATATATATTGTTTGCAACAACAACAAAAATGTATTAATGGAATGAGTTCGAACTAGACTAACATAATTCATATTATTCCCCCTCAAAATCATTTACATAATTTATATTACAGAGTGGGCAATAAATCATTTCTCAACATAATTAAATTATTATTAAATTGTTTATCAACATAATTCTTAAAATGATTTCCAACCGACACACATATGGTAATCCAAGAAGTATTTTTTTGCATTCAAGTCAATGAAATAAGAAATTTATATCCAATTAATAATGATGATTACTAATTAAGCATAATTGATTATATTTGAAATGCCATTTTTCCTAGTAAATCATAATTAATTTCTTCTAATTGATAACACAAAAATAGTTTAACGTACTAATTGAAACCATTTTATGTTTCATTCCAATTATAAGTTCATACTATATGAAAGACAAAAGACAAAAATAATATAAGTCTTTTAATATATAAGACATTCCTAATAAATGTTAATAAATTTTCTTTAAATAGATTTTAAATATAATTCAAATATTTTAATTGAGAACTATTTTTAAAGTATAATATTATATTTATATTTTATTCACTGTAACATATTCATTTCCATCATAATTTTTTAAAAAGAACTTACGTTACTAGAATAATTACATAATTTTTATTCAAATTAATTTGGTTGGTCAATAGTTTATATAAATTATTAATCATAATTGAAAATTTAATTAATGAATATGTTCTTTTCTTTCTATTTTTTACTAAAAATATATCATATCAATTATTTTTTTAATCACTATATTTTTATCTTATCTTTTAAAAATAAATAAATGATCACATCATCTATATAATAAAAAAATATAAAGTATTTGGTATATGAGTTATAATTCGAATTTTTAAAAATCAATATAAATGACTCTAATGAAGAACAGATATGAATCTGTTTGAAAAATCACACATTAGAAATAATTAAGTGTAGAAGATTTATAAATTATTGTAAAAAATATAAATGAAAATATATATAAAAACAGAGAACTTTATTTAATTGGCATCCATATTTATTGATAATTT